TGAAAGTGACTTCTGCAGGCAGGCAGCTGCTTCTGCCATTTACACTTAATCAGATAATCATAGGGCTCGGGGAACTCTTAATCCACCCTTCTGCATTAGCTAGGGCCTGCTGGGCTTTCTGAAGACTGTTCCAGAATCCTCCAGTGCTGTCCTCACACCTATACTAGGAAAAATCAAAGCACGCTGGAAGGGGAAACACCTACTGTTTCTTGGAACAGAGTCAGAAACACATTATTTTTGTCACGCAATCCTCTCATTTCTTCCTGAACAATCTTTGGATAGATATCGACACTAGTCCTCAATATGAAGTTATCATTATCTTCATTGCACATACGAAGAAATTAAGGTTCTATGCAGTGAGAAAACTAGAAGAGGGTGACATACCATCCAGGACTGGGAGGCTTGGGGGGACACAGGACTTTTAGTGCTAAAACCAGGGCAGTTCTGGGGAAGCCAAGAGGTTGGTCTCCCTAGGTTTGAACCAGGTCCACACTGTCTCCAAAGCCTTTCCTCTGAACCTTAATATAACCCGAACTTGTCATCAATCTGAGATCTGGCCCTGAGACAAATGGGGCATCTACTGGCAGCACCATGAAGAATGCAGAATTCATTTCCCTCTGAGTCAGAGAACAAAGCCAAAGGCGTTAGCTCTGGGAGATTAAGCTGGACACCAGGCCCTCAGGCAGGTTACTCAGAACCCACTGGAAAGACTAGTCCAGGAGAGGTGAAAGCCAGATGCAAGAGTGCACATGACCATTTATGCGATTCGCCACATCAGAAGACATTTTACAACAGACCACAAATCATTACCCACTGTACTTCCAGGCCCTTGCTTCAGAAATGTTAGAGACAGCCATGGAGGAGGCAGGTTTTTACTGAAATGCACAGAGAAGAATTGTACTGAATTAGTTAACAAAATCAGACCGGCATAGTTTTGCCAAAAGTAGAAATCAAGACCTTCAGACATTTTTTTCAGGGATGATCTATATTTCCTCCCTCCCTCCCTCCCTCACTCCCACCCTTCCTTCCTTCCTT